ATGGGTAGGAAGCGCTGGGTGCACCAAGGGAAAAACACTTGTACTATGTGTGTCCCACTTGGGACTTGTGTTTGCATGATGGGATTTAAGCGTCCTGCCTTTCGGAAGGAAAGGATGGGTCTGCACCGGCCGGTGCGGGTTGCGAAACGTCGCTCTCTTTTGAGGTTGACGGGTGTTCGTGTATGGAGGTCAGGCCACCGAGCTGTCGGACGGGAGTTTGTCACGCCGGTTGATTAGTAGCATTCTCGTCCGGACGGTCACGAGCTTGGCTCGATGATCTTGCCCGGGCGGGGTGCGAAACGTCTCCTGTTGGTTGGCGGGGGGAGTACCACTGCATACGGACAAGGAAAGAACCTCGGAGACGATTAATAGTTTCTCGTAGCACGGTTTGGGAAAGGCTGATTCTTTTGTCGGACCCATGGAAGTGAATGCCCGGACGGCTGACTTTTGTCCCTATATTTAGTTACACGGGGTAACCCTCAGTGTCAGTATGGATGTGCAAAAGCGGCAAGACGAGATGGGTTATTCTGGGCAAAAGGAAAGGGCCAACGCCTTGCCGGAGCCTGGGTACCGCGCTCGCGACGGTTGAGTTGTGCTTGAGGTATGGCATAAAACTCTGCCGATAGTACCATCGGAGAGACGATATTGGGGATGGACCGGTGAGGAGATGACCGACCCATATGTGAGATTCCCTGATTTTTTTATGTGTTCCCCCTCCGTAAAGATTGAGTGAGCTTGGATCGTTGGACGGGGCATATTCCTAAATCTATTCCCCCCTCCCGCCTAAGTCTACACGAGTGAGAGATGATCGGAAGGAAGGAGGATAGAGGTCAGTTGAACCAAGAGAAAGAATGTGGGGAAATGGATGGCCGACCGAAGATATTATGGGAAGGTGGTACTTAGGACTGGGGAGGTAAAATTAGGGAGACCTTGATGAGGGGTCTGAAATGATTCTCATCTAGGACGAGGGTTGACCTGACCAGAAGGACCGTTTGGTACTCTCTTATGAAAACAGGGGTCGGGTGCTGGAAACAAGATGGCGCGGTGGTTGTCTTCCCTGATCTATATCAGCGGTCCGGAAATGCCAGTAGATGTAAGGGATGGGGTATGGGTCGTCCTCTCGGAAGATGGAACGTGGGCAAATCTTGAGCCAGCATATCAAACCGTAATGCGGGAAGGGGAGGACGCATTCCTGTGGATAGAGACAGTATGGGCTAATGTCAGCTTGACAAGGTTGTCGCGGAGTTTAATGGATCTGGAGTTACAAGGGACAGTGGAAGCCCGGGGGTGGGTCTACTTGTCACAAGACAGTGGAAGCCCAGGGGTGGGTCTAGTTGTCACTCGGGAATACGCTGGACGAGTTGTTTAGGAAGGCAGAAGTGGAGGTTGTATGGGCTGCGTGTCAGCGGAGGGAAATGAAAATGGAAAGGGTAGATGTGCGGGTGGAACTTGGGGATATGGGAAGCGTGAGGCGACCCGTCAGAACCATGCGATGTGTGTTGCCTCCCTTTCTGGTGGATGCGGTCTTCGGAACCCGGAGCAGGTTAGTACGGATATGCTAGTCCATGACGACCCTCGAACTATACCAGTGCGCTAGGCAAGACTTTTTCCGGTTGTCGGTGGAAATAGGGTCGTTTGAAGGGAATTGGGCGGAGGAGCTGGCTGAGATGCTAAACTGCCTTAACGTAGACAATGTCTTTGTCCCTACCTCCATGCATTGGGGGATAGTCTATAGAAATGTGGCAATAGGGGAGACATTTCTGGAAGGGGTGAGGGAGTTGCTCTACAACGAAGAGGACGACTTCAGTGATGAGGACGAAGATGATGAGATTGAGGACTGGGACTTCTAAGGAGGGTGACTTACTTTTGGAGACTGAGTGGCCTGGTATTGTGCAGGAAGGGAAAAGATGACTAGAGAGGAATTGCTGATGGAATACACCTTCAAGGGATGGGAACCAAGGCGACTCAGGGGGGGGTAGAAATGCCTATACCAGCAGAAAACGAGTGGAGAGGAACCACGTGCGACTAGGGTGGGTTTGAGGTTCCCCCGGGATTATCATATGTATGGATAGACTGGATTTGGAACCCGATAAGGGAAGAGGAAGGCTGGGATGAGATAGCAGAGGGCAAAGTGGAATCAGTCGGGACGGTCGTTCTTTCTGAAGACGGGTGACACCTATTTTGCACTATGTTAGCGGCGGGACAGGATCCAATGTGGCTTCTAGGGTATGCAGAGGCGCAAACCTGAAAAGAGGGCAAAAGGTTCGCCAACGAGGGGTGGGACGAAGTCAGTAGTAGAGTTGTGATGGGGGGATGGAAGAAACTCAAGCCTCCCGGCCTACGAACAACGGCGTGGGTGCCTGAATTCGTGGCCGAGTGGTTTGGGGGTTTCGAACACATCGTAGAAGTGGTCGACTCCATGAAAGAAGTACACATAGAGTGTGTCTGGTTGACTGAGGAAGTCTATAGGATCTCGTTAAAATTTGGACCCTTCTACGGAGATAAAGTCGGGGAAGTCATCACCGTCCTGAGGATAGGCAAGTATGACCGCCTAGAGGTAGAGGCGGAGGCTTGGGATGCCATGGTTAGCCGAGAGGCAGCGGCCGCTCCATCCTACGTGGATGATGTCTTTAAACTGTTTGAGGTACTGTGGTTCGATTAAAAGGACATGGAAATCGAACGCCGCAGGAAGGTCGGAGTATGGAGGACGCATGTAAACTAGGTTGTAACATAAGAAGAGAGGGGGGGGGCATGTACATTAGCTTAGCAGGTCATGAGGGGGGATTGAAACAAGGGAAGGTGCCCGGTCATTGTGGGCACGGATGTAGGTCGCATGACAGAAAAGAGGAAAGGGGATATAAGCGGGAAAGGAAACAGTAGGTAGATGGGCGGTTGCTGAAGAACGGACCATAATCCTTTCTATGTGGAACTATGCAGAAAATTACCGAAACAGCAATGGCGGCAAGACGTGTGCAGATGGAACGCCAGCCCCGGTACCCCGGACCGCCCTGGAACAACGGCAGGAGATGGGAAGTGTCTCTTCCGTCGAATTCCAACTTTCGGGGATTCGACGTGGAATGGCGGGCCGTGACTTTAGGGAGAGACAGTGCCTTCATGTTGGTGGAATGTCGGTGGACGGGGATGAGACTCAACCGGGGACCTGGGGATGACCTGTTTTCCAATTTAGAGATAATCGGGGTCCTGTACCTACCCGAGACTGACTGATACTTGCTGGGGATAGGAATAGTGCAAGGCCACAAGCTGGCTCCAGTCTTTCAGAGGGCGGCCTGGGTGTTGACGCGGATAGGACAATCAGTCAGGGGTAGAAGAAACATGGACTTACTTACCAGGGTGAAAATGAGAGGTTGGAGGGAATTCAGGGCACCAACCATACCGCTGAGGTGCCGGGTCCCCCGATTTATGATAGACCTCATCTTCGGGAGCCTCGTGAGGGTGCAAGAGCTGGCAGACTCGGCAATAATCTGGGTAAACCACTTCCCCGACCAGACCATCGGGATGTTCTATGACGCTGCTGTAGAACATGGGCCGTTCTGGGGAAACAGGGCCCACGAATTACTGGAAGTTATCCATATCGTGATATTTGGGTTGCCACGACTAGCCTGGGCGGAATACGAACACATAATCCAGAGGGAAATCGAGATAGGAGAGAGTTATCTAGCGGGGGTGGCGGGCGGGCCAATAGGGCAAATCAAATATAGTCCGCCACGTATAGGGACCCACCGATGGGAATAAGGAAGGACCTCGGACCCAGACGATCAAAAACCGCTAGAGAATAAAAGAGAGAGGGTAAACAGACTCCTAATGGTTGCCATGACCCTGGAAGTTGAAAAGGGGAATACTGCTCGAGAAACTTTCCCTAGCAGGATGGCTAACCAGGACTCCTACGCGCTGGCCCGACGGAACAGGGGCGCTCTAAACGAGCCTATGAAAAAGGGAACTAAGCCGTGTCCCTTAGCTCGGTAGGGCGGTAGGGCCGGCCACGGCTCTTTTTTTTTAAGGGAGCAATCGGGGAATGGAAATAGGGAGAAGGCTACTATCTGGATAAAGATAAGCCAACGAAATCGGAACCTATGGAACCTAAATGCCTCGTGCTGCGTGTGTCATGGGGAATCCTTTGGTTTATGCAGAACTGGGCAAAATGGCAACAGAGGATGAGATGGATAATCGTAGGAACGAAGGAGGACCAGGGTTAGGAGGCAGTGCTGTGCAGAGCGAAGAGGGTCAGAAAGACAGAGAATCAATAAATCCGGATGGTACCAAAGGGAACCGGAAGGAAATCTCCTCGGGGGAAAGCTCGGGGAAAGCCGGAGGAAGTAGGCAAGGGACTCAGGAGACCAAGGAAGGTAGAAATAAGGATAGGACAAGCCCCCAGAATTCAGAAGGGGCTGTGTCTAAGAAAGTGAGGGTCACGGATGCGAGGCGAAAATTAGCGGAGATAGAAAAAATGACCGCGGAGTACAAGGCAAGATTGATCGAGGAAATGATGACTGGGAACGAAGAAGGCCCTCTGCAGGAAGAACCGTGGGACGAACGGAGGACCGGCCGAGGCGGGATTGGGCAAGGGGATAAGGGTAGTGACCGTGGGGGAACACCAAGCAAAAGAAGGAAAGAGAGAGAGAACTCCCCGGGGATGGAGGCTGAGAAAGCTACAATCCCGCCAGCCATAGACAACAGGGTTAGCCGTCTGCCAACCACGCCAGCAGTAATGTGAGGATGTGAGAGACTATGGAGCCTTAGGGAAAGGGTGTTGGGATGGTTCGACCCGGAAGGAACTGCAAAGACGAGGGAGGGACAGAAGGCCGACAAGGAAGGACCAAATACCAGTATGGCAGGTGAGGCCAGTAGCTCCGAAGGCGGCCTTAGGAAGATAGTATAGTCCCTCGCGTGAGCACTGAACAAAAATCAAGGCTATCTAGCGGACGCTAAGAAAAAGATGACGTTTGACGGGGCGAACATCACGGAATTCTTGATAGATTACGAGAATCTGGCCGCGTTGTTGAAATGAACCGAAGAAGAAAAGATGGACCACCTGGGGCAGCATGTGTCTTTGAGCTTGGGACGGGACATAATGACCATCGTAGCCGCGAGTCGATCCTGGAAGGAAACCCGGGATGTAATGATGAGGAAATACCTGGCAGCGGAGAAGATGGCAACGGAGGCCGACTTAGCGGCAATCCAGAGAAAGAACTTCGCGACATACAATGACTTTCTACAGGAGTTTAACCTGGTAGCCCTAAGGATCCCCGGGGTTACGGACCGGATAATGAGTAAGTACTTCCTCAAGCAGTTCTCCGAGTTCGACAAGGACAAGATCCTGTCGGCTTACCAACAGACGAGCAAATTCGTAAACACCAGGGATGTTGATTTCAGTACGGTAACAGATCTGGCCGAAAAGATCGTAGTGATCGAAACATTGGCCTTGCTCAAGGAAGGGGAAGCCATAGATCGGACTGGTAGGACAGGCGACAAGGTAAAGAAGGGGATTGAAAGTCTACATGAACGGGTGCACGGAGTTGACAACAAGATTGAAAAGGTGGAGAACGTGCTACTGGTTATGCAGGCGCAAGTATCCCGACCCGCCCTCCCTCCCCAAGAAGTCGTAGTTCCGCCAGGGGTAGCCAATCGAGGATTCGGATGGAGAGATCCCGCTAATAAGCAATGCAAGTATTGCACCGTGGTGGGACATTTTGTGCGCGCATGCCCAAAACTCAACCATTATATATTAAGAAGGAGATGTACCAGGTCATTAAAGGGAGAGATATTCGGGTCGCAGGGAGAGCAGGTGAATTGGAACTCACCAGGGGGGATGCAGCGAGCCATCATCATGTTCAATGGGTTAGAGATAGCAGCGGTAGAGGCAGCGCCGGTGGTCGATATCATCTGGGATCAACTTAGGGGTCACGGGCCGCAGGTCGGCGTTATTCTGGAAAGCGACGGACACGATAGGGTGAACGCGACCACTCGACTGGGGACGGCTGGGAGAAGAATTATCCGTGACACCGTGATGGAGGAGGTTGTTGGAGGCTCCGCGCCCCAGGCAAAGCCGGAGGCCGGGGAACCAGAGAAAGTTTATAGGAAGCCTATGGAAGAGGAGCCTAGAGACAAAGTTACCGCTGCTAAAAAGAAGTTTAGATACCAAATCCCGATCTTAACCATACCTGAGATCGATGACACCCTTAGCAAATTACTAGGAACCATGGTATCGGTGTCGTTTCAGACCATGTTGCAGGCCAGCCCTAGGTTGCTCAAAGGGCTTAAACAGTTGTTGACGCGACGACGAGTAGAGATAGACGAAAACCCCGAATCGCCGGAAGGGGAAGGGGAGGAGGAAGCTCCGCAAGAAGTCGCTAACCTTAAGAGGAGTCGCGGGGATTTGGAGGATCTCGAGAAAGCCTTTGCGAACATCCGCCTGAGTTTGCCAGACCGAGAAGGTGGTGAGGTCATGAGGGCACCTCCTGGGACAAAGCTCAGCTTCCATGCGCTACCCGTAGGAAAGTTGAAAATCCAGATCGGAACTCATCATACCGACGCATTAATAGACGGGGGAGCGGAAATCACTCTCATAAGGCAAGATTTGGCAACGATCACGGGCTGTATGGTAAATAAGGAAGTAACAGGAAGCATCCAGGGAGCCGGTGAGGAAATTTTGTTCGCGGGGTATGTCACGAAATGCGCAGTCAAGGCAGGCGTCAGGGAATCCATCTGGTCGTTTCAACGGATGACAGTAATGGAGGAAATGGACCACTACATAATCCTCGGGAGACCATGGTGCGCAAATGTAGAAATGATAGGCATGCACTTGCACGATGGCACGTACATGGTAGACAAAGAGGACCCAGTGACCGGCCGGGGAGAGCTCCTCCGACTCCTTGGGACGGGAGGAAACCCTCCGAAATGAAAGTTAGCCACGTGGTCGTCGTCGTTCGAGGATAGCGCACGAAAAAGGGCTTTTGCGCGGATGGAGGACATGAGAGAAAGGGTAGAAATCATGATCGAGGAAGCATTCAATAAGAAGGAATGGATCAAGATGGGCCTGCCCCAGAAGAAGACAAGGCAGGAGGATGAAGTCTTAGGTGTTATGGTGGCAGAAAGGGAATCAGAAGTCGAACTCGGGGCCAGCCTGCCCAAGCAGAAAGAAGTGCGCATGGACGTACCCGAGGTCGCACTCGAGATTTTCGATTTGTTACAGCTCATCAAGGACATCAGATACCACAACGTAGGAGTGGACTCGGCGACATTGGCCAAATTCGAAGGAGAAGTGCAAAAGGGATATTGTCTGAATGGAAAATTAGTTAGTATTCAACCACGCATCGTAGGGGTGACGAGGGTAATCTCGACCGTTCATTTTTTAGGAGAAAGATCCCGGAAGGAAGTGTTCGAAAGTACAAGCCGGTAGGGAAGAAAGCAAAACCGGTCTCGATCCTGCTAGAGACATCAAAGGAAGAGGTTATCGAGAAGGAGGAAAAAGTCCTTCGAGTAATCCAAGAGAGGAGAGCGACGGAAGGGCATCGGATACCAGATAAGGTAGCTGATACAATGAAGATAGGGATAAATGGATTCTTAACAGAAAAAGAAACCCGCCTGATCAAAAAGACCTGTTAGGAGTTTCACCTGACATTTGCCTTTAGTGATCACCAAAAGGGGCGGCTGGACGCGAAGCTGATTCCTCCGGTCAGAATCCGCACGGTAGAGCATGAGTGCTGGAATGACAAGGGTCCGGCCTATGAATTTGGGATAGCGGGGGAAGTGACAGACCTTCTTCGAGCAAAGATGGACTCCTTCGTCGCAGAACCTACGGCGTCGCCATACACGAACCGGTGGTTCGTCTTTCGAAAGCCCAACAAAACACTGAGATGGATTCAGGACCTGCAAAAGTTGAATGCGGTAACCATCCGGGATGCTGCTTCACTGCCTCAGGCCGATCTATTAGCAGAGTCGCACGCCGGCCGGAGTATTTACTTCCTGATAGATCTGTACTCAGGGTACGACCAACTTCCATTGGATGTTCGGAACAGGCCGTACAGCGCAATGCACACCCCCGTAGGCCAGTTGCAGATGCAGGTGACCCCTATGGGCTTCACAAACGTGGTAGGCGAAGCGCAACGATGAATGTTCGCCGTAGCCGGAGACATGTTCCCAGAAAAGTGTGAGTCATACATCGATAACAACCCGATCAAAGGCGCGCAAGAGAAGGACGAGACGGAAGTCCAGCCAGAAATCCGAAGATTTGTATGGGACCATCTACAGGACATCAAGGACTTACTCCGCCGGTTCCTAGTATACAACATCACGGCTAGCGGACCAAAGAGTATTCTAGCAGTACCGGAAGTAACTATACAAGGATTTCGCTGCGGTGCTTACGGTAGGAAGCCAGATCCGGCGAAGACAGACAAGATATCATAGTGGCCAACACCCCTGCACACGACAACGGAGGTAAGAGCATTTCTAGGCGTGGTCGACTTTTGGAGGATCTTCATTAAAAATTTTGACAAGATCGCTGAGCCTATCTGGGCCATGATTAGAGAAGAAGGGACCATGGACTGGACGGAGGAGCGAGAAGAAGCCGTCCAAACCCTCAAGGACATGCTAACATCGGAGCAAGTCGCCTTGTCCGCACCCTGTTTTAATGACGAAGTGAGACGACCCTTCATCCTAGAAACGGATGGAGGACCCTTGGCCGTAGGAGGCGTGCTGATTCAAAGGGATGAGGAAGGGAAGGAGAGGCCAATTAGGTTCGAAAGTAGAACCCTGAACTCCGCAGAACGGCGGTACTCACAGTTCAAGAAGGAGGTCCTGGCCATCTTGCATTGCCTCAAGACCTTCCAGGCCTACCTATTTGGGAGGCGGTTCATCCTTAGGATCGATCCGACGAATGTTGCAGGGGCCTTAAAGAATTACAGGCCTATAGATCCGACGGTGGGGAGATGGGTGTGATTTATCTGGCAGTTCGATTACAAAATCGAACGGATTGCTGGAATCAGAAACAAGGCCGATGAGCTGAGTCGGGTCTGCATCACTCTCGATAGGGTGGAGGATGCGGAGCCCATAGACGCATTCCTTGAATACGAGGGAGGAACTCTTGCGGTGGATAACGAAATGATGAGCGAAGAATGCGCGTCGGGAGAACTGTTGATCCGAACTTTGGAGGAGGGGGCACCTGCCGTAGTAGCAAAACTTAGAGAAGGACCAGTCACCACTCGAGGTCGCAAAGAGGAGAAAGATTCATGAGGAGCGACAATAGGACCGAAGGAGGAACTAATAGAAATGGCGATTGAGGGAGGCCGGGAAGCCGTGAAGAGCTTAGTGAAATCTTGGAAAATAAAGAGTTGCGATAGATGGTAAACCGGATGCAGGAGAGAAAGGATGAGGACCAGGAAGGGAAGGAGTTTTTCTATGCCCAAATATACGAAGGGATCTTTCGGAAGATCGGGTTGTTGCTGGTGGGAAACAAGCAACCCATGGAAGTCAGCATTAAAGCAAGGGAGGAGGCCGAAAGGTACGTCCTAAGGGGCGACCATCTGTTCCGGAGAGAGGAAAGTGCTATGCCTAGAAGAGTCGTGTGCGGGAGATCTAGGCAGTTAGACGTTATCCAGGCAATGCGTGACGGATTAGCAGGAGGGCATCGATTGTCCAAAGGAACTCTTGCAAAGATGACGCCACTCTATTATTGGCCAGGCATGGCAGGCATGGTCGCCATGTACTGCCAGACCTGCCTTATCTGCCAGGAACGAAGCTTGGCACGTGTCTTCGAGCCGCTTAGACCAATGCGGGTGCTAGGGCCGGGACATCTGGTCCACCTTGGCCATGAACAGATGGGTACAGGTATATCCTGGATGCGCGAGACAACTTGAGTGGGTTCGTGGAGGCGGTCGCTCTTAAGAAAAAGATAGGGAGAAGTGTAGCGGACTGGATAGAAGACTTTTACTTGAGGCATCCTTTCGTCAGGAGGTTTATAGCGGACAATGAGACGAAATTTGTCAACCAAGAAGTATTGGGAATGCTTAAGAGACTCTGCGTACCGATCAAACTCATCGAGCCATATCACCCGGAGGCCAATGCACATGTGGAAAGAGGGCACCGAACCTTAAAGAAAACGATTGTGAAGCTTGCAGCGGACCATCTGGGAAGCTGGCCTAGGTATCTTAAGCAGGCTGTCTTCTCAGAGAACATGACACCTAAGAGGACAACGAGATGTATCTCAGCAGAACTTTGGTACGGAAGAGAGATCGACTTTCCCGTCGAAGCCTTGATACCTACTTCGAACAGGTTAGATGATAATCCGCGAATGACCACGGAAGAGTTAATCGAGGCGAGGTGTCAACAAGTCCTTAAGAACGAAGAGGTCATGGACGACATCGCCAACCAGGTACTAGACAGCAGAATGAGGGACAAAGCAAGGTGGGACCAGGTTAAGAATGTCAGAAAGGAGCCACTTCAGGTGGGGGAGACAGTATTGCTAAGGAACTCGACACTAGAAAGTACTTGGTCTGGACAACTGGGGAGGAGGTTCAAAGGCCCCTACTGGGTCGCCAAGCGGGTTGGACTGAACATCTTCAAACTGGAAGATTTGGATGAAACTGGATTGAAAGGACCCTTCCCGAGGCAACGATTGGTCAGGTTTCTAAGTCGGGACCCAGTGGAATAATGGCTTCAGGAGGCCGAGGATAAGAAAGCTGAGGGGCTACAAGCTAAGGACTGACAACGGTCTTGCCCACACTATGGTTCTGTCTCTGACTGCGTCAGTGGGACTGTTATTTTTTTGGGGCTGGGGCAATGGTTTGGACTGACTGCGGCTGGATGGCAGGATGACTTGGGAGTTCGCGGTAACGGGTTTGCGAGATAACGGGAAGGATTGTCGGGAGCATTGTATCATAGTTTCTAACGGGGAAATACTGGGATCATCACGAACGGGGCATTTGCATAAGAGAGGGAAATGTATAATAGTGGCATGATGCGAAGGATACTGGGAGCATTTTGGTGAAGAGGGGCTGCCTACCGGACTGGGAAACGGGTGTATGAGGGGTTTTGCGGGTGTTGTTTTGTTATACAGGACCTAGAAGAAAAACACAAGAGAAAGTAAAAATGGAATTCGGCAACGAGAATGACAGCGGGGCGATCAACAGGCCTACCGGAGGGGAAGAAGTGGGACCAAGTCGAGGAAGGAGGACGGCAAAAAGAAAATTGTACATAGGGCTCATATCCAGGCAAGTGGTAGGCAGGGGTGCGAGAAAGCGCGTGTGTAAAAGACCCTCGCCCCTCCGGGAGGGAGAAGGTATATATATCTCATCTAGGAGTGAGAGGGAGGAGGAAAGGGCAAGTGTGGGAGAAAGGGGCAATACGGATATGGGAGACAAGGATCAGGCCTCTGACGAGGAAAGAGCCAAGAGGTGCGAACAACGTGAGTCTTGACATAGGGAAGGCTAGGGGAGACAGGACATGCGCGACGAGCGTGAGGATGGGGAGGAAAGAAGGGAAAGCCCGCTTGAAGGACGGAGCGGCCACGACAGTTGTGAGGGGGGGTACCCGGACGTTGGGGAAGGATATGGGGAGAGGACAGAGGTTCCCTATAGCTACGATCCAAAGAACTTGACAGGCAGGTACAGCCCCATACGGACGGAAGAGGAGGAGGACGAGGAGGAGGAAGTACAAGAGGTAATAAAAATCAGCAGTGGGGATGAGAGGGATGAAATCTCGAGGCCTAGAGAAGACAGGCGGCCCCCGATACACCAGCCGCGCGAGGGAGTCTTCAGATGGGAGGATGAGTTTGGGCCAACGCCCAGCCATTGGTTTCAGCAATGGCTCAGTGTGATCAAACATGAGTGGATTATCAAGGCCCGGGAACTCGCGAAGTCAGGGGTGGTGGCCACACCATTGGATTTCTACAGCGAGATGGAGTTACGAGAAATTGCAAGGAGGAGAAAAGGAATCATGGCCTCCGGCCTAGGGTTAAAGAGCCAGCAGAAAGACAGGATGGACAAGGGGCCGAGCAAGTTGAGGCACAGGACATCAATAGGGATTAGATGTTGATTAAGCGTTGAAACAGGAATCTTGCTTTGTCATTTGCAAAATATTGGGACGACAAGAATGTGTATAGTATGAGTAAGCTTGCTAGGGATGAGTGATAAAAGAGTCAGCTAAGACTGTGTCACGATAAGTTAGAAGATAGCATTTTGAGGCTATTTTCTAGATGAGCTACCTTCGAAAATGGGTATACAAGACGACGACATGGGCATGGGATGAGACCTGTTGGGAAAGGTGTATTGTGAATTTTGGATGAAATAAGGACTGTGTTTTTTAGAAGAGAAACTTTGAGTACAGAATGACGAGCAAAGCAAGGCATTAAATGTTGTTCGAGTACAAGAGAGGTTAGGGAACCTATGGGTTAAGGGGCGTGAAGAACACTCCTTCCCTAGGAGCCTAATCCAACTGAGTCATGAATGAGTCTAAAAATAGCCAAGAGCTGAAAAACCAGAAAGAATGAAAATAGAGGGGGTGTCCTAGTCTTTTGCTATGGTTGAACGGCCGGGTGAGCTAGTGCTGCTTGGGATCGCGAGTCCCAACTCGAGTACTAGGCGCTAAGTCGGATGCATGCATAAAACAGTAAATGTTGTGGAGAAATGGACAAAGGACACTGCACGCATAAAAACTAAAAACAGAGATGGCCATCTTCTAACCTCCGAGATAGAAACGGGATCCGTGTCCTCGAGGCCCACCCCCTCGGGCGCTAACACTGAGAATGGAAAGGAATGACCCTGACCAGGTTGTTCGATTTGAGAATGAAAAAAAATGGCCCTAACCAGGCTGTTCGACTTGAGAATGAAAAGGAATGACCCTAACCAGGCTGCTCGACTTGAGAATGGAAAGGGCCCTAACCACACTGTTCGATTTGAGAATGGAAAATAACGACCCTGACCAGGTTATTCGGAAATGGCCCCTGACAAGGGTCATTTCTTTTGAAATAGGCACTGCGGCCCTCTGCATAATTGATTGAGAAAGGTTGATTGAGAATGAGCTGGAATGAGCAACGAGAGATGGAAAAGGCCGGTGGGTCAGTCATTGAAATAGCCATGAGGATGAATGAAAGAGAATGATGTGTTGAAGAGAGAAGGGCAGGATAAAGAAGGCTGAGCCTTAAGTCAAGAAGGGCATGAACCGTTGGGACGGTCATAAGGAATGGATATTGGGAAATGTGAAAGTTGAGGATTGCAGATGGGTCGACGGGTCGGCCCTTGAAAAGGTGGTTATTGAGAAAGCGACCGCCAGAGCGGCCACAAGGGGTGGCCTTGTTGATGAGAGGCTGTCGGACCAGCCATGAGTATCAGCCTTGGAAATAGCATTGGATTGAGTGTTTGCGAATTGGATATTGCATTGCATAGTCAGGGGACCCTAGGCAATTTGATGAAAGGTCGTCGGGCCGACCATGAAAATAGCAAGAGATTGAGTTTTCTTTTTTTTATAGTCTTGGGTCTCAACATAAGGGGGATAGCAATGCTTGCATCGCGACCCCAGGACCTCTACCCGTCAAGGGAAAAGTCTCAGCACGACCTATTCCTCATAAGGGACAATAAGGGTTGAAGGACCATGGCATCGTTCTCTTTGATTGATGTTGGTCGTCCGGAACTAACCCCGACAACGAGCTCTAGTCGAGGAGTTAAAACTGCGCCTCATGTTGAGAACCTAAACGTCAAGGGCGTGGGGCCAAACGGGCGAGATAGCCCTTATTTTCCTAAGTCTCATTTTTTCTCCCCAACCACACGCCATGACGTGGAGGGGCGGCGCGGGCGTTTGGAATGGTCAAAGGGTGCTCGCATTAAGTTGAGCGGCACTGTCCAGAGTGAGGGGTCGGGCGTGGTACCGGGTGGAAGTCGCAACCACCACAGGGCGAGTGACACCGCCTTGCCGGATCATTACAACCGTTCTGGGACTAACCGCGAGGTTTTCGTAACTGCACTCACAAACTAATTGAGAGCCCCAACTCTCTTGAAAGGAAGAGGCCGGATCCAAGAAAACACCACTCGGGAGGAACGATTCGCGAGAAAGTCTTTACGACAAGGGGGGGGGGGGGCTGAGAGGTTTGGACTGGACCTACCTGTCGGATGTGAGGTGGTACCTCAGCAATAACGCCTGCCTCGTAACGGCAAAAGGTCGGACTAAGTAGAAGGATGAGGTGTTACCTGCCGAGGAAGGACTGATCACCCTTCCTTCTAGGAGCAGGTGGGCCGTTGTTCTTGACTCAGTTGGTGGGCCAAGGTCTGCGTACCTCCGAGTGAGAACCAGTTGTGCGATGGGGACATCGCATTTTTAGTGG